CCCCTTTCCAATCTGGGATCCCTCTCACAATCTGGGACCGCTGGCTCCTAACTGCTCACCTGCCTGCCTGCCTGATCGCCCCTAACCCCTCTGCCTGCCTCAACACCTCTAACCACTCGTCTGCCTGCCTCAACGCCTCTAACCACTCGTCTGCCTTCCTCAACACCTCTAACCACTTGTCTGCCTGCCTCATCACCCCTAGCTACTCGCCTGCCTGCCTGATCACCCCTAACCACTCTGCTTGCCTTCCTGATCACCCCTAATGCTCACCTGCCTAATCATCCCTAACTGCCTCTGACTCAGCCCCTGCCACCATGGCTTCCTCCAGAAGGACATACGGAATGACGTCTGGAAGGTTGTTTGGCTGTCCAGTCTAATTAGCATATTATGCTTTTATTATTGTAGATCATACTATTGTTTTTGTTGTTGCTGCATAGCTGTGGACAAGCAGAGCTAGATAATCCTCTTTTCCAGATAAGAATGAGAATTCTGCTCTAAATTGCCACTTCTGCTCCACTCTGCAGCACCGCGAAGAAATTCAGGTCCAGGGCTTATAGAATAATTTAGAAAAAGAGTGCTATAGCCACCCTTGGTTGTCCATTTCTCTTTTAAAGAGCACCTATCGAAGCCCCAAATCATCTTGGGTCTGAAGAGGAATAAAAATGGCACCTGTGTGACCAATCTGACATGCTTCCTGGAACGGGGAGGAGAGGATGTGACTTACAGCTGGAAGACCCTGGGGAAGACCTCCAATGAGTCCCATAATGGTTCCGTCCTCCCCATAACCTGGACGCTGAGGGAAAAGAACATGACCTTCATCTGCATGGCCAGGAACCCCGTTAGCAGCAAATCTTCAAACCCCATCTTTGTCCAGAAGCTCTGTGAAGGTGGCTGTCCCTCTCCTTTCTCTAGAAGCCTACAGTCTCGGGAGCGATGCCTTCTTTAGCTCCTGGTCCCCATGGGAATGGGCCCTGTGTAAAAACTGGAGGCCCCTGGGAAGTCACCAGACTGGGAGAAAAGTAGCAGTTGCTCTAAAAGTTGGGTCATTTTCCTTAGCTAACTCTGCTTCCTTCCCTGTGTCTCCACCCATTCTCTCTTTAAAGGGATTGCTGGTGACCTAGATCCCATCATGCGCCTGAGGATTTTCTTGCTGTTCATTTTCCTTGTACTGGTGTTAATTATTCTATGGAGACAAACAAGAAAAGGTAGACCATATGCCATTTTTGTCTTCGCCCTCATTCATGCGCTTTCTTCCTCATTAATTCAACAAACCGGTGGTAGGCCTAAGGATACAGAAATGAAGAGGCCCTAGTCTCTGCCTCAAGGAGAACACCATCAGCCTGCATCCCTTAGTTCTGGCTTCTCCCCTAAGGCCAAGGTCCTTCCAGTTCTCTCCCCAGTGCCCTAGCCCTTTCAGAGCCTGGGAAGTAATGAGGGTAATCAGAAAATCCTGGGGTTTCCCTGGGGTTAGCACTTAAAGTCCAATTCTCTGCGGGGGGGTGTGAGGGGGGGACACACAAACCTTTAGTTACAGGGAAAATATAAATT